CACTGAGGGAGTGACTAACTCCCTGAGAAGAGAAAAAGGCCACAATGAGAAAATTCCATTTGAAATCAGTGGGACTTTCCTCCTGGAGAAAAGAGAGCGAGAGATACTTTGTTTGCAAGGTGAGGTGGGAGAGAGGTTTGTACAAAGGCAAGCTGTTATGTAAAGAAATGACTCAGGCTTTTTATTATAAACAGTTTCTACTCAGTATGGCCCATTTAACCAAAAAGGAATTAATGAGGTGCACGAGTGTTAGCTCAGAGTCAACAGAAATGTTGGCAGGAATCAAGGGACTAGTACTGAAGTCTGGAACTAGAGCCAAAGCCTCACCGTAGGAATGTCCTGTCAGGAGCACAGGTTCACTGGCCACCAAACCCACCACTGCCTGCCCCTGCCACCAGCAGGACAAACCATGGTGGCCCCCGCATCTTCCATAGTCTTGGGAGGGAATAGTTTAGTGGCTAACCTAGGTAGCACCCCTGTGCTCTCACTGCTCCCAGTGAGAATGCCCTTGGTTTCTTCTTAGACTCACATATTGAGATCTCCCAAGTAGGAAAAGGGATAGTAAACTGAATAGTCAGAAAAAAAAAAAAAAAAGGCACCCCCCTGCAAAGGATGTGACCTATTTACAGTCTCTTAATCTCAAACTCAGTAACTTAGAACTAATTGGGCTAGATTGTTGGTAAATAAACAATTCTCTCTCTCTCTCTCTCTCTCTCTCATACACACACATACACACAGACGGATATACAGTCCTTAGTCTCTCTAGCCTGGAAAGAGTTTTGTTCTGAATTGCAGTTTACAACAAGAAAAAAGGAACATGTGGATATTATGACTCTGAACACCACAAAGAATTTGAATTTATTTCAGGAACAGAAATGTGCAAACTTGCCCCGAGAAGGTCAGACTTGACCTCTGAAGTTTTCATGACTCCCAAGGCCTGGGAATATTGTTATTTATGAGGTCAATGATTCAATTGGTCTTTTCCTATATAGTTTTTTTTTTTACCTTACCATTTTTTCACAGATTAATCTCTGTTATTTTTTTATTAAAACGTTAATTTCTATTTTCTGTTAATTATATTTCTACACTCAGGCATTTGTTTTTCTGAATCATGTTGTATCACTTTCATTACCCTCTCTGAGTTCTTTAGTATCATTTTGAATTGCTTTCTGATGTTTCCTCATCTTTTTGATATTTTATTATGGGTTTTTTAAGTATAGCTATAGAAAAATCAGATTTGCATGCTTTCCTTTTGAATTCTGGAGTTTTGTTCCCTCCTTTGAGAACTTGGGTTCATTGCTAGAAAGTCCACATCTAGGAGAAATAGAAATCTTGTTGTATTTGACACTGGGAAAAACTGATTATAAGAACCCAGGGTTCTTTAGCTCTAATTTTTACTGTTAAGAGAAGAAACCAATTTAACCAGTTTCCTCTTCAGAAAGATTTGAGGCAAATCTTCATGGAGTTGTGCCATTGCATTCCCTAATAAGGCTGAGCTTAAAGTGGTGCAATGAAGACCAGCACAAGCTACCACTTGGCTAGTTCCAAACTATAGAGACCACAATGAAGCTTTGAGAGACTGTTTATTTAAGAAACACTTATCAAGTACCAGGCACTTGACTTTCAACTAAAGGCAAATATAAATTTCAGTTACATACACCTTTTTCAATAACCATATAATGTAACAAGAAGAGATGAGACAAGTATATTAAGAACAATCAAACAAGGCAAACTTGAAATATGAAGTGATAGAGGTTTATAGAATTTTGCAGCTAGAAAGTTGTCAGGGACATTTCTAAGGAAATTTAAACTTTAGTTTTCAGTAAGGGGCTCCTGCATGGTATTGTGGTAGGTTGTTCACTAACCCACCAATAACTTGGGTTTCTTTCCTTGGGAACATAAAAAGTAAAGACTATATCTATAGACATGAAGATAAGCATAAAGTGATGGTCAAGATTAGATGGAAATATGTTAAGAACACTAACATGTAGGAATGGTTATAATAATACGCTACAAACATAAGTAGGCAGATGATAGATACTAGAAAGATAGATTACTGGCTAAAAGGAAGCTATATATATGCTTGTGTGTGTGTGTTTAAGGTTAGATAGAAAAAAAGAAGTCATCAATTGAAGCAAAGTGATGGGAAGGAAAATCAAACCAACTTAACAAATAATAAAAGCACCGTGATTTCTAGAATGAGGGGGAAAGAACATGACAAAAACAGTATTTATTGTTACCTAATAAGTGTTTCACTCATGGCTTCTTATTTATTTGTCACAAAATATCTTTGGGATACATATTGTTTTCTGCAGTTGTAGAAACAAAAGTTTTAAATTTTAAATTGCATATTAAAAAGGCACATAGCTAGTAGGTGACAGAAATTCACATACAGTGACAACTGGCTGTGTTAACTGTTGAAAGGTCTAAACTGAGAGGCAGAAGGTCAGAATTATAATCCAGTTCTTGTATGCCCAAGATAGTTCTTTGAGAAGTCATTTCACTCGCATAAATCTCAGTTTTCTAATATGTTTTAATAAGGATATTTGACTAGATACTTTATCCTGTAGAATTCCCTTCATGTCTGATATCTTATGGCTCCGGGTTTTTATGGCAAAGTAAACTCTTGAGAATGTATAAAGGGAATGAATGAAAAATAAACTGACTAGTATAAAAAAAAAAAACTTTTTTTTCCATCTAAGACTGAAAGAAAGAACAAGATAATATTTAAACATATAAAGTTTGAGAAGTCGCCCTTAGAAAGCATAAAAGACTGAACATGGAGACTGATTGGTTATTGAATTGAGGGGAAGTGGACAACTGAGGATGGTGTTTAGTGTCTATTGAACCATAAACCCACTAAACTACTTTTGACATGTAATCATCAAACATGAACCCTCTCTGGGATCTTTTAGAATGAAGTATCAGAACATTTATTGTTTTTTAATTTTATATTCCTCTTAAAGAAAGGGAGGAAGGTGAACATGGATATAGCTAAGTTATCTGCCAGATAAATCTATTTACAACCCCATGATCTAATTTTGTGGTTCAGTGGATGAGATCCTTTGCAAAATGTCCACAGTGCAGATCAATGTTTGGAAATTTATCACTGACTACACATTAAAACGAATTCAAATCATGATGACACCTTTGAAAAATAACCTCAGGGCCTGATCTAGTGAACAATGGCTTGGAAATCAAGGTACCTCAATTTGCATTCTCACTCTGCTAGTAACTAGTGGTATGATAATGGACAGGGTTAAAGACATGCATGCATCTGGGCTTACTAATCTGTAAAATGGAACTGTAGTGATTACTTCACAGGTAATAATACTGGTAGTTGAAGACTGTAAATTGTTAAGGGTGGTGCCCCCTGGAGGGGTTCGCTGGTAGAAAATAAAGCACCCCAGGAGACTGCTATAAGTGGGGTAAAACAAAGGGGAAAGTACATAAAGGCTCTCCACTCATGCATGAGAAAAAGCTCTGAGCATGTGAGAGGGAAGCTGCACAGTGGTGCAGGACAGAAGCTGAGGGGCAGCCACCAGGACACACAAAGGAGCCGAGCTGCGGCCCCAACAGTGCTGTGTCAAGATGGCAGCTGAGGGCCCCAGAGAGCTCCGCGACAGCTGGGCTTTGTGGGTACGGGCTACATACAGCCTTGTCTGAGAAGTTGTTTTGGAATAATTTTATTAGGCCTGGTGAGAAAGGGAGACCCACGGAAATAGGCATTTTGTTAAAATGCACAAATGTGGCCATTTGTCTTATCTTTTGGCCGCTACAGCTGTTGTCCTGAGTATGGGTTGTTTGGTGCTGTGCTGGGGCATTTTGACAGCTCAAGGAGCAACTCTGGTTGTGTCCTTTGCTGTGTTTGTGAATCGCATCCTGGCCTATAATTTGGCTGTCATGTCCTTAGTGGCAGGAAGACGCCATTATAATGGTCTTTGTGGAAGACTGGCTAGTGCTGGACCCACCTTTGGGTAAAGTAAACAGCCATTATTGGCCTTAGTAATGCTAGTTTTTCCTGGTTTTTAAATAAATCCTTCTATGGTTATTTACTAAGCCTGAGCAATCTTGCAATTGTGTGTGAGGGTGAAGAACCCAGACAGTAATTGTTAAAGTATTTGGGCAGAAGGGCCTTGCCCATTTTAGTCTTCCTCCTACTCTGTGCCAGTAACATTGCCATCTAAGTGGTAGATTCTCAAAAGATGTTTGTTTGATAAAAAATACTCTGCTGAAGTTCTTCTCATTTGTTTCATTTGTTAGGACCCATCATCTGTTTTATATGTGTGTATGTGTGTATGATCAGCCATACCAAAGTGTGTGCATGTAAGTGTATAAATTTAATTGATCTCATATATATGCCATATATTTGTGTATACATATCCATATGTATACACACAGTTCAAGGGTGTCTTTATGTGATCAATTTTTTAAAAAATTTATGTGTTGTTCAAACTATCTACAGAAAACTAATGTGCTTCTAATTTATACTTTGAGTACTTCTACTCACCCAACTCATCAGAAATCACTGAAATACTGGAATAAATGTCTAGGTTTAACAGTTTAATCCTTGGTGATAAGAGTCCAGTTGTCAAAGTTTATCATAGATCAGATCCCCTTCAGGAATTTTGGGATTAGCCATAGCAAAAGTCTAATTCATTTCTTCTTTTCTGAAGTAAAACAGACTTGTCTTTGGGATTATAATGCATCTTGTTATATTAAATTTACATGAAAAGAAAGGAAAGCTTATTTTCCTAGGTAGTTTTGTTTGCCTGCATCTTTTAACCAGAGTTCGTTTGCTCAGTCTTTTGTCAGAAAGTCCATGGCAGTCCGGAATTCAACCTCAGGCCGAAGTTCTCCTTGTGGCTGAACCACTAAATAATTAACTTCAATGAAAGATGCTATTTTGAAACTCCCATCATTTGAACAGGTCAGTGCACCTGGGTTTTTGATATATTTGGAATAGCAGCCACGTCAGCACAGATACTTCAAGCAAAGTTATGGACTCCCAAAGACAGACAAGGACAACACCATTGTTGTCTTTAGGAAGATTTCACATTTCTGAAGATTATGGATTTCTTCTTCCAAATCCTCTGGTAAGAATAGAACCTTGGGTCAGGTCAAAAGAGCTTCCTTGAGATGCTGATTGTTGTCGTTGTTTGATGGAAGAAAAAGATGGAATATAAATACAAAGTAATAGGGCTGAGAAAGAAGCCACAAATAACCTAAAATATAATTACCATAAAAAAGTGGCTGCTACAGCAAAGGATAGTTCATGTAATTGAGGTTACCAGGGTAGTAAAAAGGGGCAGGGCATTAAATAGTCTATGGTAGAAGATTATGGGTACACTTCAGTGTGTATGTTGTAACATATATTTGAACAGGTATAAACTTGTACCTTTGAATTATATACAGTGTTGTAAATTAACATTGCTCCAAATAAAAAAGGAATATTATACAACTTCATATGTATAACAATATTATATGAGATAAATAGGCATATTGTGATATAGCCATACAGTGGAATACTACCAACTAATGAGACACACTTCAATATGGGTCAGTATCAAAATCATTATGTTAAGTGGAAAAAGGCAAACAAAACACTTAAAAAAAAGCACATGCCATAAAATTCCATTTATATAAAATTCTAGAAATTTCAAGTGACTATAGCAACAGAGATCAGATAATTGACTGCATGGGGACAAGTGAACAAAGGATTAGATTACAGAAGATGTGAGGAACTTTTGGGGAGTATTGGAAATGGCTACTTTAATTATGGTCAAAACTTACCAAATTGTATGCTTAAATTTTATGTAGCTTAGTTACTTCAATTAAACCATCAATATATATATATTTTTAATGAAGTGCTTTAATGCCAGACTTTTGTTAAAAAAAAATAGATTACCAATTAGTCAAATAAATTTAGGAATAGATCTGTAGTTCTCAAAAACAAATCAAAATTTAGATATATTATATGAACAGGTCATTTTATCTTGATTTGCTAGTAGGGGAGAAAAGAGAACAAAAGTGAACTCCTGTTGAGATTAAATATGTACACGAAAGCTGAGAAAAATTATTATAAAAGAGGTGAAGGTTGGATTGAGCTACCATTATAGAGTTCCTATCTTTCTTGCCTACTTTTTCATATAAAGGAAAACCAGGTGAGAAATAGTTACAGCATCAAGCGCTTATTACTTCTGAGTCAGACCACATCATCCATTAGAAGAAATTTCCAATTCCTGAGCTGATATAAAACATTTTATGGCAAACTTGATCTATGGTTATCACCGGCACATGTCAGGCTTCTAAAATTGTAGCTCTGTGTTTCGGTTTTAGTTTTCTCCTATGAGAGAATTGTAAACAACTCCCTTTCTGGGAAGCAAAGAGGGAAGGAAGTTTGTATCAGAAACTTTTCTGAGTTACCTCACCAATCAGGAAGATTCTATTACAAGGTAGCAATTATTGCAGGAAATCACAAGTTGGGAAATGCAAGACTGAAACTGCCAAGAACATGAACAAAATTTGCTCTCCTTTAGTTTAAAGGCATGGAAAAGTTATTCCTTCTTGTCAGCTGTTCTGAAGATGCTCATTTAGCAAGCTTAGCTACATACTGTGTACATCTTCCTCAATACCTCTCTGAAGAAGACACAGTTGTGTAAATGAAGCCAGAATAAGCAAGCATTCTAGCTGTGAGGAAGAGTGTGACTTTACTTCAAATAATCTACATACTGTTTTTATAAACTTTCAAACATTTCCAGTGTCCGGTGTTTCAATGTGGAAAATTTATACCCCTTAGACTCATGTCAATAAATGTTCTATATAAAGTACTTTGCACACACAGTCTTGAATGTGTGTGTGTGTGTGTGTGTGTGTGTGTTGATGGGGATGACAGGATAATTTTTTTTAGACATAAAGAATAGGAGTAAATTACTGAGTTGTGAGAAAGGCATTTTTTCTATGTATCCGGTGCAAAAATTGCATCATGACTTTTCCGACAACCCAATAGATTGGTAGAAAGGAGGCTGTCAAGATAAATTACAGCATGAGATTGGAGTAGATTGGAGTAGATAGGGGGGGTCCTTCTCAGGAATTTGGATTTCACACACCTGGCAAATGATTACTATGCAGCAAACATTTGAATATTTTCCTAGCAGAATCTTAAGTGTAAAGTAGGGTAGAGCAGTTTCGGACTACAACCAAAATTATTTGGGGAGCTTTAAAATGTCACTCCCAAATAGCAAATTCAAGAATTTCTAGTTTAATTGGCTTCCTACCTGAAAACCACAGATGCATGAAGGTCAGTACAGGTCAAGGTGGAGAAGAAGGTTCTCCATAAAGAGTCTGCCTCTGGAAAGGAAGGTATCACAGTAGTGAGGAAGAATTGGATATAATTTAAATACAAAAAGAAAAGAGAGGGGAGACTTTACTTGTGCCCTGCAGCAGAAGGCATGAACTGGAGCAGTCATGGAGGTCTTGAGACCTGTATAGTTTTTGGTGATCAAGTAGCCATTCAAGAAAGAAACACATACTTACTTTCCTGTAGAAATTTAGAACACTCCAATGGACAACAGCTGTATAAAAGTAGGAACTGAAAAATAATTGCTTTAAGAGACAGTGGTTTCCAGCTAGAAGGTTTAGGAAGGAAGTATTTAAAGTAATCACACTCCCTGAAAATGATTGTCTGCCATCTTTGCTAGTGTTTAGCATAAGCCTGTTCATGGTGAATGAGTATCTGAGGCAGTGATTGTAGCACAATAAAGACAAAAATAATTTCATAATACTTAAGGTATATCAATAGAGAAAGGTGCTTGAGGGTAGGAGATGTTACATAGGGTATGAATTACTGTACCAAAATTAAGGAACAAAGGTGAGTAGGGAATCTAGGCAGACAAAAATAAGAAACTGGGGGTGGAGATGGTCAAGACAACCCTTTAGATACTTGAATTTTAAATAATTAAGCATCTTAGAGTTTCTTCACTAAGAAATTGCTTTTTCTTAATTCTGTTACAACCTCTGTATAATATATACTCGTAAAGTCTTCTGTTTTTAGTACTCATTTCCTATTAGATTTTGTATTACTTGAACTACATTTATGTCCTTTGAGTTATAAATGAAAATTCTTCCATAGTAATTTTCACTATTCGCAATAACTCATTTGATAATGAATGAATTCAGTTCTATCTCTGAATTGTCTCCTAGCTATCCACATTTTCTACTTTTACCCTAGTTCAATCTGTCACCTTTGCCCCAAAGTACTGCCCCCAACTTTGTCTCCTTATTTCCATTTTTGCCCAGTTATAAAATATGTTGCAGAGTCAGAGTGTCAGTGAAGTGAACACAAACGCATGTCACCCCATTGTTATATTTTTAATTTGTATTTTATTTTCTCCTAATCCAAACTTTGTGTCCCCTTGTTCTATTCCTGCCTCCTGTGGATATATTCCTGGGTGGGATTGCTGGATGGTGTGTTTATTTTTCAAAGTGTCTTAAATTATACAAGCATCTGCTACTTAAACGTCCAGTATTTGTTCCTATCATTCTGATTAATTTGCTGCAATTTTTTCTCTTAGATTATCTCCATTTTGTTGAAAATGATTGCATTTCATCTTTTCTTATTAGATAAATAATACTCCCTGGAGTACATATATCACACCGGGATTCACTCATCTGTCTATGGACATTTAGGCTTCTCCCATGTCTTAGCTACCGTAAATAAGGCTGCTAGGAACACTATGGAACATATGGGGGTTTTGTTGCTCATTTCATATTCTGTGGATCTATGCCCAGTGGGATTGCTAGATGGTGTGTTCTTTTCATTCTTAATTTTTAAAAAGTAAATACAGATTTCTTTCCATAATGGTTGCACTAGTTCACATTCCCACCAATGGTATAATAAGGCTTCTTTTTCTCTGCATCCTCTCTAATACTTGTTGTGCGCCTTTTTAATAAGTACCATTCTCAACAGTCAAAAAGTACTATTTCATTGTACCTTTAATCGGCATATTTCCTTTTAAGAGTTATGAACACGTTTCATGTCTTTTGGCCCTCTGGAAATCCTCCTTGGTAAAATGCCTGTTCATATCTGCTGCCCATTTTTTAATTTTGTTGTTGTTGAATCATATGATTTATTTATATAACTTGGTTATCAATCTCTTATGAGCTATATATTGTGGTGGATATTTTCTCCCATTCAGTAGGTTTTCTATTTAATTGCTTTGCTTTTTTATTTTACTTTATAAAAGTTTTGTCACTTGAGATAGTCCCAATTGTTTCTAATGATTGCCTAGGGCTGAGCAAATATAACTTTATTGCTTACATCTTAAAGTTAATATTTACCTCTATGAACTTTATTGTTATAGGACTTAAATATAAATTTATTATCCATTTTCCGTCTGTTACTGTGTATGTTATTACTAGTAATAAAACTTCATTCTTTTATGTAGGGTTTTACAATTTTCCCAACACCTTATGTTAAAGAAGCTATCCTTCCTCCATTTTATGGTCCTAGAGGCTTTATCAGAGATCAGATGTTAGCATATGTATGGACTTATTTCTGAACTTTTAATTCCATTCCATTAGTCTATATATCTATTTTTGCTCTAACAACAGCATATATTTCAATGCTGTTGCTTGTCAAGTTCGAAGTCAGGTAATAGGATATCTCCCTTTCTCTCCTTTTCTTAGGGTTGCTTTTAAAATTGAGGCTTTTTATGGTTCCATATAATTTCAATGTTTTTTTCCATTTCTTTGAAACATACTACTAGTATTTTGAAAGGGGTGACAGTATTTTTGTATATCATTTTAGTCAGGATAGCCATTTTGACATTTTGATTGCTTTGATTTGCCTCACCCATAAGCAGAGCTTATTGCCTGATGTTGCTCTTTGAGCTCTTTAATAACATCTTAAGAGTTGTCACTGTTAAGCCTTTTATTTACCTTCTTCATTATCTTGAGACTGAGGCATGTAATTCTTTTTTTTTTTGGAGAAATTACAAGTGGAATTGTTTGTATATAAAAAGGCTAAGGATTTTTCTGTGTTGATTTTGTAACTTGCCACTTTGCTCTATTCATTTATTGTTTCTAAGACTTTTGTGACGGAGACTTTGGAATCTTCTCTGTGTAATATCATTTCATCTACTAATAGTAGAAGTTTCACTTCTTTCCTTACCCAGATTCTCTTTATCTATTGTGTTTGCCAGGTAACTCTTAACAAAACTTGGAGCACTGAAGTTAAACAGAGGAGGTAATAATGCACATCCCTTGATGTAGTTTCATTTTCTGTGAAAGCTAAGGCATCTAGTTTGCTTTGAATTGATTCATGGTCAATAATAGAAAGGAGAGGATTAAATAAAGATTTTTGGTTGGATGTTAGATTTTCCCAGGTTATAAGTTAATTAGGAACTGAACCCAGTTTTATCTTATATTCTGAGATATAGAGGACCTTGAGCAAGTGTCTCAGGAGTAACTTCTACCTCCCCAAACTTACACTTTCCAAATTTCTTGGACCTTCTGTATTATTATAATGCAATATAAAATATATAATAGACATAATGTTGTAGGTATATAATGGCATATTATAGCTCTATAATTATTTAGCACCCAGTTCTGCCCTTAAGTCATTTAACTGGGTCTTTACAACCATTTGCCAAGAAATTTAATTCTTAAAAGACTATTCTCTGCAATTCCAGACTTTCTTTTTCTGCTGCTTCAAAGTGAGATGCCTCATCTAGGCTCTTTCTTTCTTCCCTTCTGTAACATTTTGCTTTTCACTACTGCTCACTCTCCTTTCTCATCAGACTCTCCTTGCAATAGCACACTATAAATCAAACTGTTCAAGTTCAGTTTCTTATTCTTTTATTTATTTTTTAAAGATTTATTTACTTATTCATACAGAACTGGGGTACAGGCCAGAGGTGCGGGGGGGTGAGAGAATTCACCAGAGACAATGTGGGGAGCAGAACCGGCAGATTGACGAAGTACACTGATGAGGGGAGCAGCAGGCGGGTCAGGAGTGGTCTGCCATGACTTGTGGGTCGCCTCTGGGGCAGGGATCGAGCTCATGCTGTAGTGGCTTTAGCTTCTTAGTGCTGTGCTTTAACCTGCTGTACCATCGGGAGGACCCTCAGTTTCTTATTCTTAAAAAGAGATATTTCTCAAACACAAATTATCACTTACTAATGTTTTATTTTACTCTTAAAAGGGAAGATTACTTTTTTGTTTCTATTTTATTACTTCTTCAATTCATTAAAATTTGGAAGTTGCTTCTGTGACCCTACCTAAATTCTATGCCATGTATTGAGAATGATACATATGAGTACCTAACTAATTACCTAACTAATGTTTTTTTTTTTTAATCTGAAAGGGACCATTTTTACTTTAACTTTTTTAAAAAAGATTTATTTATTTATGCAAGCAGAACTGAGGTACAGGCCAGAGGTACAGGGGTGGTGAGAAGATTCACTAGAGACAGAGCCGGTAGCCGAATAGGCAGATGGACGAAGTACACTGCTGGAAGGGAGCAGCGAGCTAGTCAGGAGAGGTCTGCTGCACCATGTGGATCACTTCTAGGGTGGGGATTGAACTCATCGCTTCAGCTTCTTAGTGCTGTGCTTTAACCTGCTATGCCACCAGGGAGGGCCTACTTTAACTTTTAATAATACATTTGACCTGAGGAGATCCTTATGAGAAATCCTCTAAAATTCTGACTTCTTCTACAGGGTGAACTGCTTCTTACTCACTGAGCCTCTATAAATGTTTTCCTTTTTTTTTGTATCAGTATTGCTGGCTTCAATTCCTCTATTTGCCTTGTGAATACTTCCTAGTGCTGCCCAGATGACCTTTTCTTTTACTTTGCAATGTCCCCAAATGACCTGTAATCTTGTGGTTTTAACCACAAAGTGCCACTTTCACTGAATATGACTCCAAATTGTATATTTTTAATATTAGTTTTTTCCTGAATTTTTTTTTTAAAGATTTATTTATTTGTGCATACAGAACTGGGGTACAGGCCAGAGGCTCAGGGGCGGCGAGAGGCTTCACCAGAGACAGAGTGGGGAACAGAACAGGCAGATCGACGGAGTACACTGCTGAGGGGAGCAGCGGGCGGGTCAGGAGAGGTCTGCCACGCCATGTGGTCACCTCCGGGACAGGCGGGAATCGAACTCATGAGGAAGTGGCTTTAGATTCTCAGTGCTGTGCTTTAATCCGGAGGGCCCAGTTTTCTCCTGAATTTTAAGATGTATATCCAAATGTCATATCTTGACAGGCCTTACACATACAATAGAATCTATTTTAATGCCCTCTTTTTGACTTCCACCTGCATTCTTGTTTCAATTTGTGTTCTCTCCAGTTCATACAGACACAAAATGCACAAATATGGAAATAACTCTCATTTTCTCTTCTTAACCCAGAGATACAATATTCAGTTGCACAGAGGTACCTCAGAAAAGGAGGTCTAGATTATAAAGATAGAATAGTAGTTGGCAAACTTTTTCTATAAAGGGCTAAATGATAAATACTTTAAGCTTTGTATGCTATATGGTTTTTGTTGCAAATGTCCAGCTCTGACTCAGTAAGGCAAACACAGCCATAGATGTTAAGTAAGCAAATCAGTGTGACGATGGTTCAATTAAATTTTTTTTTACAGCCATCAATATAGTTTCCAGTTTCCTGGGACAAAGTCGGGGTTAATGAAATCTGCCTTTATGTTCTACTTGACTAAACCATGGCACATGGGCACAAAGCTACAAAGCTGCCATTAGATTAGGGATCATCTTGCCTTTGGTCAATCCTCATCCCTAAACCTCTCCCCCACCTAGCCACCTCTAAAGTTAGTAAGCACATCATTTCACTTTTACTTTCCAAATATTTCTTGGACATATGTTTATTTTCCCTAAAATAAATGTTTATGTCATTGCCTAAGTTTCGTTCTTGAACAACTTTTTGAAATTTTTATTATCTGACTTTATATATGAAAACCCATGAGCAAAATTATCATCTAAAAATTCAAACTGAGCCATGTCACCAAATTAAAAGAAATTAAGTTTTATAAAAGGTGAATTTGATCTAATTTTCTAGTCTCACTTTCCATCTTCCTTTCTATTAAGCTTTCTATTCTAGTCATGTTGCACTGTTTGTAGTCCCAAGAAGTACAGTTATTTCTATACAATTTTACTATATACTTTCAAATTTCCACAAGGAAAAGTCACTTTCAGACATTAACTCTAGTCCTGACATCATATTTCCCTTTAACCACAATAGCTGACAGAGTTAACCCATTCTTTCTTATTATAAGTGCTTAAGTTTATACATACTTCAGTAATTGAACATATTATGCGATGTTGGGATATATCTGATCACATATGTGTTCTCCCTTACAAGAACATGTGCTTTTTAAGTATTTTAGTCTTTTTGTATCTGCAGTGCCTACTAGGTAGCTGTTTATCAATCTTTGTTGAACTGAATTGATCTAAATTTTGCTTTAATACTGAAATCTGAAAGCAGCTATTCCATGAAGGTACTTCCCTGAGAGGTAAATAATACTGAGATATTTCTGTTTTGAATGCAGAAAGAACTTCCAGATCATTACAAGCCTTGGATGGAAATTGCCAGCAAACTTCCTTATTTGATTGAGAAACACCAGCTTCGAACTCAAGTGAATAAAGTATGTATGTATCCTTTTTCTTTTTAAATTCTTCTCCTTAACCTCTTCTCAACATCCCATTTTCTTTCCAACACCACTGTTTTTTCCAAATCAGCATTGTTGGAGTCTATTGACCTAATGGCATTAGTCATTGGCATTCAACTTAACAACAAAGCTTTCTCATTTTTCCTGAAGAGCAGAAAGATCTGCATATGATATAACACTTACCTTTTCTTCAAATGTCCAGAACGTACACAAAACAATCCCTGAGACACACACACACAAAACAAACAAACAAACAAACAAGCACTTGTTTAGGAGGAATACAACCTGATTGCAAATTGTAGGCATGTTAGTGGATAAAATCTAGCTCTTCTGTCATTCCATGTCATCTGGCCAGTTCCCCTGGCCTCTGAGTGAGTCTACACTGGTTTTACCATGGGGTCTCATAGAGTAGTTGAGTCAGGAGAATTCTTACATTACAAAATTAGGATTGGCTATATATTCTGCAGAAGTAATTCATAAGTCATGATGTAGGGCAAGTAATGGCAGGCAGCACTATTCAGAGGAGGGAAATTACCTCACAGGAACTGTGAGAAAGTATATAAGAAGAACACAGATCTTGATTCAGGAAGACTTGAATCTGCATCTTGATTTCATCACTTAGTAGTTACATAAAATTGGCCATGTTACTCAGCTGCTGTAACTTTGCTTCTCTATGAAATGAGAAAAGTAGTGATCTAATAGAATACTTGTGAGGACTAGATGACAGTAGGGGCCTTTTCTTACTTCCTGTGATAAAATAGCACTCAATATATACTTACACTTTCCTATAATCTCTTTTCTATCTTAATTTTCTCACTTTAGGGTATCATGGTATTTCAGAGGTATAAGAAAGTTTTTTTCAGAGATAAAAGTAAGGTTTTTCACCCTCAACAATTTTCCTTCACTTAAGCATTTTTAATAGTTCCAATTAAAAATGTATATAGACCACAGTTCTCCTGCCTACCTGTGACTGTGCAGGTGTTTTCATGAAGTATGAGGTGGTAGTAAAAAAATACCAGGTACTAGAAAAATAAAAAAATTGATCAAAGAGAGAAATAGATGCTCTAAATTCCACAAAGCAGATGTTCCACAAACAGACTAGTGTGGGTGTACGAAAAGCAAAGTTTCATTCTGGTAAGGACAAATTTTTAAGTTGTTATGAAAGATTTGAGTATTTCTCTTTTTTAAATTGTAGTACTTTTTTTTTTAAAAAAGACTTTATTTATTTATTCATATAGAACTGGGGTACAGGCCAGAGACGCAGAGACAGAGCTGGGAGCAGAACAGGCAGATAGATGAATTACACTGCTGAGGGGAGCAGCGGGCGGGTCAGGAGAAGTCTGCCTCGCCATGTGGATCTCCTCCAGGGTAGGCGGGGAATCAAACTCATGCGGAAGTGACTTTAGCGTCTTAGTGCAGCGCTTTAACCTGCTGAGCCACCAGGGAGGGCCTGTAGTACTTTTTTTATTGAGGCAATGCTAGTATATAACACTGTAGATGGTTTAAAGGCATAGATCCATACCTCTTCAGATGTATGTTTCCAGATCCCATTCACCACAAAAGCAATAAAAACCTTCCATCATAGTACGTTGGGTATTTCTACCAGAAAAATCATCAGGATATAGGCCCAAATAATTATCTTGGTAAAATTTCAAATTATTAAGTATAATCAGAAAATTTTCAAATTTTAATTAGGAGACAACAGACATAAAGCTAGGTTGCTAACAAAATAACATAGGATCACTTATCTATAAAATATAATTTATCACCTAATTCAATTACTGATTTTTTTTTAAAAACTGGCCATATCAAATGCTGGTGAAGATATGTCCCAAAGGTACTCCTACTCATACTGCTTATAGGGTAGCAAAATGGTATTGCTATTTTGAAAAAAGGTTGGCAAATTCTTACATATTTGAACATAAAGTTTATGACCCTATGACTGAGCAATCACAATCCTAAGTAATTGTTCATGTTAATTGAAAATTTAGATTTACAGAAAATCTCTTATGTTAATTTTGTAGGAGCTGGAAATAATCAGGAACTATTTACACTGTGTACAATGTACTGAATATTTGCACCCCTCCAGATTCATAGGTTGAGATCCTAAACCCCTCTGTGATAATTTTGGGGGGGTGTATTAGTCTATCTAAGCTAGCCAGAAAAAAAAAAAAAAAAAAAAAACAACTAACAGGATTGATAGAAGGTGACATATAGATAGTAGAGAGATAGACAGACAGGCAGATAGGTAGCTATGAAGGCCCAAGAACCAGTACTGCAGATGCTTCCTGAGGGCTCTGGGGTTAAGAGGGAGGGGAGAGGGAGAGGGTCAATGACACACAAGCGATGGTATCTGGGAGAGAAGTATCTGAAAATAAAGAAACAAAGAGCAAAGCCTATTTGTGCGGTCTGCTACAGAGAATGCAAACACTGCCATGGCAAAGACAAATGTGTAGGGGTGAAAAATGACTCCTTTCAGAGATGAAACAGCAGAGCTCTACAAGAGGGATATTCCTGACTCTGTCCAAAGTCCTCCTACACAGTACTTTCCAGCTACCAAATTTTGCTTCTTGGACTGTGCTATCTTTAGGAGTTTCATTTTCACCTTCGCAGGAGGGTTTGGACAGGCTCAGCTGCTCGCTCCAGTAGAGCAGGCTCCATTCCTTACCCCAGTCATCTACCTAATAATCTTCTGCTTCATGAAGGTGCAAACAAGGGCAGTGTGGAGCTCCATACTGCTTCCTTCCATACTTACCCTCCTGGGGTGTGAAGCTGAAATCCTCTCCATCTTCCCCTCCTAACAGTCATCTTATATTGCTCTAACAGTTGCTTGTAAATGTAAACATGTGGTGACACAGCAAATATTGAGAAAAAGAAGATGGCTGTCCTAGCTCAAGCAGAGAGTAAATTCACCACCCTTCCTCCACTTTTTATGGTTCTATTCAGGTCCTAGGATTATTGACTGATGGCCACACTGACAACGGATATCAAAAGTTAATGTACTCCACAAACAGCTTGACACATCCAGAAATTATGCTTTAATGAGTTAACTCATAAAATTACAATGTGGAAGGAAGGGATTAGCTCATGAGATAAATCCCCCATAAAGTATGATTAATACGTTTACAAAAGTAACTCTAGAATACTGTATTGCCCTGTTTCCCTATCGTGTGGGGCTATGAGAAAAATACAACACTGTAGGCCAGAAATGAGCCCTCCATAAACTCAACCATGTTGGCATTGTCTTCAGACTTCCAGGTCCCAAAATCATAAGAATTAAATTCCTGGGGTTCATAAACCATTAAATTTCTAATACTTCATTATATCACTCAAGTGACTGAAACACTGTGTTATAGCTATCCAATGGAATATTTTTCAGTGATAAAAATGAGTTACTGAATTATAACAACATAATTTTGCTATTGTATTTTGCTAAATCAAACATGTCAGACCCAAATAATAGTTGTTTTATATTTCTAGTCATATGATACTAAAAATAAAAGGTTTCCAAGGTAGAATGAATAAGTTGTTGACTAATAAAGACAGCTTTTGTGTGTATGTGTTATATAATGGTTCTGTGTGGTACTGTGGTGGTGGGTACATAGTTTTAAGCAGTTGTAAAACCCATAAACTTGCATGCCACTATAAATGAATTTCAAATTTTATGAATAATTCCAATTTTTCAATACTAGAATGTGGCAGAATTGCAGGAGGGAATCCTGACTATGACAAATGGAGTTACATGAGAGGATGGAGGCAAAAGGACTTGACCTACGCTATTATGGTCCATGATGCTTTGACTGGAATCTACCAATGCTAAATAATAAAAAAAGGAACAGTACATAATCATTGTACTCTACTTGGCTCTGGTTGATAACATTATTCTTCATGGGATACAGATTAACTGTAAAACTGCTTTGCATGTACTGGTTTGAATAGGATGTCGATGGGTACGTCACTATCTGAGATAAGAATTAAAGATTACCAAAGGAGGAAGACTAGACTAAGTCTGTGCACTGTATATACCTGGTATATACACAAGTATATACCTGGCAATACACATATATAGGCATATATGACTATATGTAGATATATACATTTGTACAGGTGCTTTGTAACTTACTTTACAAAATATGGGAGAAAACTACCTTAGAAGTACCTATCAATTGTCCAAGCATAATACTTCCTAAGCATATGTAAGTTTTTAAAATAATCTTACATAACTTTTTATGTAAGGTGAGTAATACCATCCAGATGCCTTTATTAATTTTTTATAAAGTTCAATTTTCTGTTAGCATCATTTTCTTTTGGGAAAGTTTATACTTATGTAATATATAATATAGATACACAGACACACATAGATATTTATGCACAGAAGTCTGTAAAATGTTTTTTAATATTGTCTTTCTTTTAAGATTTATTTATTTATGCATACAAGAACTGGGGTTCAGGCCAGAGGTGTGGGGAGTGAGAGGATTCACCAGAGACGGAGTGGGGAACAGGGCAGGCAGATACACTGAAATACACTGCTGAGAGGATCAGTGGGCAGGTCAGGAGAGGTCTGCTGCACCATGTGGGTCACTTCTCTGGCTGCAAAAAGAACTCATGCTGCAGAGAGCTTCATAGTACTGCTCTTTAACCTATTTTGCCACCAGGGAGGGCCCGATATTGTCTCTATTTGCAAAAGACAAATGGCAATTTTATTTTTTAATACCACTACAAATTATATACACACAGAATTCCTTGTAATTAGAATGCGATATTCCTCGTGCTGCTCACGCTAGCACTGGGTGACAGCTTAATTTTCTGTACAAAAGAGTTAATTTTCTTTTTATTGACTGAGAGCTTTCTTCTTCTCGTATACACATGACTTTTTTACTTAACATTTTAATCAAGGAAACACGGGTTTACTTGTGAGTATTGGCTCACACCCCTGAGATGTCCATTACCATACCCCCCACCAAGGCACCCCAAACCCTCCACCAGAGTCCACTGTGCCCTCGCACTACATCTCTCTACCCTATAACTCTCCACCCTCCCCAAACCACCAATAGCAGCAATTTACAGTTAGATTTCTAGAGTTTGTCTTTGGTTCCATTTTGACTGATTCTTTGTTTTGTTTCACATCCTTCTGTTTATAAAGTAGAATTTAATGTTACAAAACCAAAATAGGTTAACTGATCTTGGCTTTTATTTAAGCTGCTTCAGTTTAAATCTCTCTCATTTGTACATTATTTTGTTAGTGAGGAAGATTACTATTTGTTTATATTTTAACATAGATTACTTTGAAAGGTAGTTTGCAAGATTAAAGTTAAAAAGTGAATTACTTTTTATATTTTTGTTTTGTTTTACTTCAGGAATAGTGATCAATCATAATGACTTTAATTTATATATGAATTACATAGCTTATTGAATGCTACATGTTGATGAATGCTGAAAAAATTTTAAGCTAGGAAAATGAATTTAAAATTCAGATTTTATTATCCACCTGTGAGGACAAAAGAAAATACATCATCAGTCAAATAAAAAGAAATAAATTACAGCTTCCAAACACCATCTGAGTTACTGAGGTCCCACAAGAATATAAATCAGAACAAAAGATGCAGAAAAGAGAAATAGGGGCATTGTAAATATTCATTCCCAATGTGGCTGTGAAATAAGAATATAATAATACATATAGGTGCATTTCCTGTGCAGAAAAGTGCACATACACACTTTTGTGACCAAAATGTGTGAGCATGAGGAAGTATGTTTTTTTTAACAAGACGTAATTGTGTGACGTTGTACCAAGTAAAAGGATCTCTGTCATGCTGTGCAACAAAGTGAAGGAACAATAAAATAATGTATATTTAGCAAACAGGCAAGAAAATTTGCTTTATCAGTTATGACACAATCTAAAAACAGAAATTGAGACCAAAGATAGAGGCAAGTGAATACCTCACTAGAAAACTATGGCTGACCAAGTAGATACTGAATCTTAATATGTAATAGGGTGGCAAAGGTGTGTCATCAGGGGGCACAACATTGATGGGGGTTGGGGGCTGGTTTCCCCAAGCGGTGTGCACCATGTAGACGGACTGGGGGACCATTGCCGAGTGGCACAAAGTTGGGGTATTTATAATAAACTTTACTTCCTTAAAATAGAATCTCCATTCATCAAAAATCAGTTATAAAAAAAATGAAAGGCCAGTCACAAACTGAGAGAAAATATTGACACACAATTAAATGAGAAAAAAACTTGTATTCAGATTATAAAGATTTCTAGAAATCAGCAAGACACACACAAGCAAGTAGGGCTTATGAGAGATATTGACTTTTATTTATTTATTTTTTTTCAAAGATTTATCTATTTGTACATACAGAACTGGGGTACAGGCCAGAGGCTCAGGGGCAGTGAGAGGCTTCACCAGAGACAGAGTGGGGAGCAGAACAGGCAGATCGACGAAGTACACTGCTGAGGGGAGCAGCGGGCGGGTCAGGAGAGGTCTGCCACGCCATGTGGTCACCTCCGGGGCAGGCGGGGATCGAACTCATGCGGAAGTGGCTTTAGCTTCTCAGTGCTGTGCTTTAACCCACTGCGCCACCAGGGAGGGCTTTTATTAATAATAAAATAAATATTTTTATTAATAATCAGGAAAATGAAAGTTAAAACTGTTGGGGTAACATTTTACAGCCACAAAATTGAAAAACATTTAAAAGTATGACTTTACCGGTGTCCTCAAGGATCTCCACACATGTGAATGGTATTGTCTTGTCTTTTTGAAAAACTATTCGCCGCTGTTTAAAGATATGCCTTCCTTTTATTTAAGAATCCATTCTTGTTACATAAAGACCTAGGACTTTCTGGGCAAATACATGCTCGGAGAGGTATAAAAAAGGTATTATTTCTTACAATGATAGAAAAGTGAAACGATTGTAAAAATGAATGAACTGCAGCTGCATAGTAATGTGGGCAAATCTCAAAATTATTCAAACTAAACAATACATAGTTTAGTGATCTTACATATATGAACTGGGAATATGAAATTTGAATGCTATTAACATAGCACAAAACTAGCAAATGTAATATCTCAGCAAACAGGGATTCCTGAGGATCAGGCAGGTTAAAAAGCCAACATAGAGCACTGCAGAGATTTTGGCGAAGTTCTACTAAGCTGGTTATTGGGTAAATATGTATTTGCTTATGTATATTTTTAAGCTATAGATATTTTATGAGTTTTAAATGTATATGACATACACTATGACATGATATAATTAATAAAGCACTTTTAATAATAAAAAGATATGATTGAATGTCCTTCATGTTAACAGAATAGTATATGACAAGCAAATTGCCTGCCCCACTGGTGATTCTGGAGAAATGTTCACACTGTTCCTACTATCAAGATCAAACAGAATTTTTCCATCAAATTAATACAATAATCAATGGCAAAATACAGTACAAGTATTACTACTTAAGTTACAACCTTTCTGAGAAGTAATTTGCTAACATTCATTAGTTTTAAATATACATGTGCTTTGACCCAGCACATTTTAAGGATATATTCTTGCAGAAATACGACTATAAAAGAAAGGATATAGATGAACAAACAAGGGTGCTTATTTAACAACTGTAACACCGCAGTCAATTTTAAAAATAAGATAATAAAACCTCTAATTACACAATAATCCCTCTAAATACACACTAATAGAAGTGTTAAGTAAATGGAGCATTATCTAGCTGTTATGTAACACGCATAAATGAATATATCTAGGTCTACGTATATCTATAATGATATCTAATGTTAATGTTATAATAAATTATAAAAACTTGCTGCTATAATTCTGAAACTACTTTTTAAAATGCATCTTCTCAGAGGCTGCAAAATAAAAAAACAATAAACAAAACAAAACAAACAAACAAAAAAACGCTGCCCTCTAGTGGGTAGCGGAGAAAGGATTCCTTTAAGGAGTCCAGAGCAAGTGGCTAAGGTGAAGGAGAGGAGAATGGAGCCCAGGCAGAATTGCCTGGATCTTGAAGGGATACAAAAGACATTCGCCCTTTCTTAGGCTTAGCATCCATTCATTACTCCCTTTCTTATCTAGATCGGGTTGTATACTGAGCTGGGGAAGGAATGAGGGAAGGAGGAAAGCCAAGGGGTACTTGGATACAGGCGCTCAAAGGTCGTACTGTTGAATCAGGAAGGACCTGACAGTAATAATGGACTTTGTACAAAGTGGTGTTTGCAATGAAACAGCACCTTTAACGTCCTGATGATGCCAGGACACAGTCATGTGGGCGAAACAGGCCAAATGGGGTCACTGTCAGTGTTCTAAGGCTGACAGGACGGACACCTGTCTGGTTCAGCTATCTCCCTTGAGGGATTTGGTCAAATTCCTAAGGCCATTAGACCTTGTGTTAGTTGAGAATTAAACAGAGAGAGTAAAGACTGCAAGACAGAGCAAAACAGAGTTGTTATTAAGATTAAATGATACCAAGTAATCCTCCTTCACAAAAGAAGATGATAAAAGTTCCATTTATTTCATGGCAGCTCCATCATCTAGTCAAAGGAATCAATTCTAGAACACTAACCAAACTCACTTTAGTGATAAAGACAAGTGTTAGGAGGAAAATTTGGTGGGGGAGGGTTAGATGGCTACTTCCCTCAATGTATATATATTTTTTTCTTTGAAGATCTGGGGTGCAGGCCAGAGTTAAGGGGGAGAAGGGATGAGAGGATCCACCAGAGACAGAGTAGGGAGCAGAACAGGCAGATTTTACTGAAATACACTGCTGAGGGGAGCAGCGGGGGAGACAGGAGAGGTCTGCTGCACCATGTAGCGGTGATAGTGCTGAGTGAGATTTAACGGCTAGGTCACCAAGGAGGCTCCTGCACAGAAAACCTATTCTGTGGGGTTGTAGGATCTGAGGAGCATGTGTGCTTATGCAGCCTCTTCACTGAAACCTGTTCCTTACACCCAAAGAATCCTTCAACTGGTAACACCTGGAAATTCTCTTAACTAGCTGCCTCTCCTGGATGGCCAGTTCCTCAAGGGTTACCGGGAGCAGCGCCTGGCCCACCTGGTTTTAAGCGTTATTACGATGGGGTATGTCTGGCAGGAAGGAGAGAAACAGCCAGAAGAGGTAAGGAACACCCAGATGGCTGGTTTGTCATCTGGTGGGTGGCCTGTCCCTGGCATGAGCTTTCGGCTTGACACTACACTGCTGGGAAAATGTTCCTTACTTTGGTGTTGGTTGAAGGAAGGGTGAGGAGTTCATTTAAATGGAAGCCTTTTCTTCTGATGACAAGGCTAAATTTCTTTAGAATTGGTAGCTTTTCCTCCCTTTCATTATTTTTCAAAACTAGTTTTTGACTCTCTCCCAAAAATACTTGGAGAGTTACATTTGAAGGCAAGTTCTGTCATGATAGCTTATAGTTTACAGCATTTTGTACTCCTTTATACATCTGTTGTCGGAGACTTTGTCCACGATCACGGATTATTGGGGAGCAGAACAGGCAGGGTCTCAACGTGGGAATGGCATTGGCGAGCAGAGATTTCTAGAAAAAGGGGGAAAAGGGAAAAAAGGGGAGCGGGCATGAGGAAGACACGGGAATGGGAGTTGGGTGCAAGTCTTCCTGCTCTGCCTTTAGCAGAGGTTTATTTTATACACTTCAAGCAGGCAGAGGGATGAGATTAGCATATGAAATGGGCTGAGATCACAATCACTTTTTTGTTAAGAATAGTCTGGGGTCATTTTGACTTTCAGTTGAGATTATAACATTTTTAAAATCAATCTATCAAAGTTAAAACAAGTATATAAATTCACAAAGTTTAAGACCAATATTACTATATTTACCACAGTGAAGATTAACCAAAATAAAGTCCCTTAAACATTATCTATTATTTAAAGGCTTCATTCTCATAGAGACATCCTAGGGGGTAAAGTAAAGTGAGGGCAGGAAGAGGAAATTTCTTGTAAATCAAATTAAAGTAAGGTTTTTTGAAAAACTTGTTAGAAAGTTTAGGTGAGTTTTTTTGAAGTCTAGAAGGTAGAAAACCTGATTAGCTCTGCATAGGCGACTTGGGTGAATTTCCATATCTAAAGACTAGATAGTAGAAAGTTTGAGTGGCTATTTAGAAACTAAATAGAAGGCTATGAGAGATAGAGTGATAAGATTTGGGTTTTCCTCAGTCTGCCAGTGAGTGACTTTGCAGTAACAGCCATTTGTTTTTATTAATCAGCCAGTTGTTTAATGACTTTTGACTTCAAGAGGAATTTCTCACCCTGGTGCAGTACTTACTTGTCAGGGCCAGGTAGCGCCTTCTGAGGCTGAGGCAATCCAATTATAAGCTGAAGGTTGTTCAGAATATTTTGATATTATGATTATACAAAAAAGGAGGTTATCACATAAGTTAGCAGTGGAAAGTCTGATTTTTCAGAGCTTTTCCCCATCTACCTGGAACCTGTCAGAAGATAGACGTTGCATAGCTTCTGTCAATCTGTTATTTCACTTGATTTTCACAATTCTATATGGTAAGTGAGTTAAGCTGTGCCCATTTTATAGACAAGCTGAGAACAGAAGTTTCAGTACTTGGTTGAATATCAGATAGCAAGTTAGTGGAAAATCAAAGTAAGAACTCAGACTTAGTGATTAAGATTTCCTTTAATACAGTCTTTTCCCAGAAGCACACGCTGACATTTAAACTCTCATTTCCTTTTTATTATTGTTTGCTCTCTACTGATTACTAGTCTCTTAGTAATTTAAATATCTCCTGAACCTTTGCATAATTACATGTTTTTTCAACCTGAACCTTGAGACATGAATCTCCAAGTTTCCCTAGCCATCCACTTTCGTTTTTTGCAAATGTACCATTTCCAAAAATTCAGAGCACTGTCCTTGTTCTAGAACTTCATAGTTAAGTGAGCAGCCTGTGTCTCACTTCTTACCTTGCAAGTAAAGGAGTGATCTCACTTCTTACCTTGCAAGTAAAGGAGTGACTACCTGCAAAATAACAAAGGTGAGCTGAGCTCTGACTTTTCAGGTAAGCAGACACTTCCCCCAGCCCCACTGCCTTCCTTATCAAACCCTGCCTCCTGAGGGAAGCTGACTTAAGGCTTCAAATTTAAAAAAAAAAAAAAAAAAAAACTTTTTAAAGAATTTTGTTGCTAACCACCTAGGGGTGCACTGACACTTCGTTCGCCCTTTGCCCAAATGTAGGAGACTGGGAGACGTGAGAAAATAAAGCAGGAACCTGGGGTCTGGAATCCGAAGTCTGTTTATTAGCACCACCCATGGGTATATATAGGGTTTGTACTTGCAGGGAAAACCAGGAAATGTGCCCTACACAGGGAGTGGGATGCAGGTTTGTGCCAGGCCTGGGGCTTCTTATAGCTTCTACTTGAAACAAAATAGTAGGCTGCAGCTATTTGCAGGACAGAGTGCGCTGTGCTCTGCTGACTTGTTTGTTGGCCTTACTGGGGAGTGTGCTCACCCATGCACAACACTAGCCAGGGTGGACAGGTTCACGTGAGGTCCTGCAGAGTTAGCCACAGAACTTTGACCTCCATAAAGAGGTTAAAATAAACTAAGCAAAGTTCAAAACTATGAAAACAATGAGTTTGATAGAGGAAATGTAATTTAGGAAATGGAAACAATGGCATGCTGTGAGAAGAATGTTGGATTGGGGATAGGCTCTTCTATGGCAGCAACAAAGGGGTGAATAACCCTGAAAACTCCTATAGCAGGAAAGCCAGCTCAGATGCACAAAGACCAACCCAGCCCATCTTGTGAAACCAGCCCCACCTGGTCATTTTTGTTTGTCTCTGGATTAAGCATTTACAGAATAGGTAAATGCTTAGTCCTTACATTTTATTTTCCTGCAGTCACATATATGTGATTTCCCATTTTTTTAATCCTCTGACTTAATTTTAGATTGAAATTTTAGATTGAGCTCTTCGTTGTTTTCAATTTAGCTGGCCCTATGGCACCTATGAGCTTTTCTGGATTTGAGGACTTATTCAATTCTTCAGAGTGTTTTTGAAAGTTGGGGGTTGCATGGGAACTTCTTTGAAGTTGTTACTGTATTTTATTTATGAAGTGATCAACAGTTTGCTGCACATATGATTAAGTGTTCAGCCTTCTTAATCCTCTCCCTGAATTCACACATACACATACCTATGTAATATATACCTGTATATTTGTATATATGCTTTTACTTTCATACGAACTACAACTGCAACTATGTGTGTGTTTGTGTGTGTACGGAGAGAAAGGAGGGTTTTTTTTCTCATTGCTCATCAATTTAGCCCCCTACTTCATCCTTAAATATTAGGTAATTTCCTCTAAATATTGCCAATTTTTGGAGATTATTTTAAACTGTATGTGTTTGCATGTGTCCAATTTTTAAATTTTTACATATATTTCAGCTTATGCTCATAATCAATAGATCAGCAAGATGGTTAACAGAAAAAATATGGGAGTGAGCTAATGACAGGTGTGGTGTGGATCTCACATAAAATTCCAGGTTTCTCCCCAGGTCATTTCTCTACTCAGGATTACTAGATTAAATGGCATATATTGCTTTATTGCATTCTTTTCAGAACACTCTAAATGTCTGGATTTGTATCTGAAAGGTTCTGCCTCAGAATCTGGCCCTTCCCTTTGTTGATGTCTCCAGGAGTTTGGGGCTTCCACCTATTCTGGTCCACTCTGACTTGGTGTTGGCAAACTGGACTCTGAGGAATCCTGAAAGGTGAGCAAGGACAGGCGGATTATTTTGAACAGATGGAAACTCTGTAAGGGGCTGTCTTGTGACTTCTCCCCTTCTTACAGAAGGTCCAGGCTTTTCCAGCTATTGTGTGATTAGAAATGGATATTTATATTTATTGCCTGCTTTATGATTCCAAAAATCACAGTACCCAGAAGTTTCTGCTTAACCCACCTGAATACATTGGTACAGATCACTTTTGTTTTGTCCCAACTTCTGTGACCGGCTGCAAAAAAGGAAGGCGGGAGGCAGAAAGGCTGAGCAAGTAGAGTTTATTGCTCTTGGACAGCAGTTGAGATGGAGCCCCTAGGGTGGAGTCCACAGCTACTGCCAACTCAATAAGGGGGAAAGTGTCTTTTATATAGATCTAGGTTCACATTGCAAAGGGTGACTCATCGCTGTGCCCCCTGGTGCTAGGTCCAGTTCCTCCCACCAGTATCTCCCGGATGCTAGGCCCAGTTGACTATCAGTTGGTTATCCCCTTCACTTATTCCCATATCAAGCTTGAATGATGCAAGGCTCAATTCTTTCCTTGTCAGTAAATCTTTGGTTCCCAACAACTTTTACCGGTTTGGTTTTATATCAGAACTTACCTTTCTCAACCTGTTTCTCAACTTCATCTTCAACCTTATATTGATTCTCTCTTATATTGTTTGCTATTCCCACACATAGTTTCTCTATTTATTTGAGTCAAATGGGATAGGGACTTAGTAAGTGATCATTATATGATGATCATAAATAAATGATATAGGTGAATGAAGAGTAGATGTTCTAGGTATATTGGGTTTCGAATTCGATGAATAATGCTGCTTATTTCAGCTGGGTTACATCATCTCTTTTACAACTGTATTAGGAATTCAGGCCTTTGTCTAATGTAGAAACAGCATGAGTTTTTAACCAAACAAGGAAATCTAATAAATAGATTAAAGTGAAAGAGATTATTACCTTTCTTTTTGAATTCATTATGATAATCTAACTCATTTCTAGAGATAGAACTTGCTAAAGAATTATTAAAATAGGTTAAAGGATCATTATGTTGGATGTGAGGAAGAAGTGACTGAATGTAATATTTGTGAGAATGCCAGAGAGGACTTCGGAGGACTAGACCACTGATAAACCCCAAAAGTCTTAGGACCAGTTTATGTGCCTTTCTCTCCAAAGACCAGAGTTTTATGTTTTCTACAAATTAATGTCTTTGGCTCATTCTTCTCTAAATACAGAATTGGTGATCTGTATTCCCATAAAAAGCTGCTGAATCTGTTTAGAATTGGAAAGAAAGAATGGATACACATATAGAAATCTCCCTAGTCAAGACATTCAATCTTGGATAAGCTGGGTTTCTGTTTCAAAGAGAAAGAGAGGAATGAGGAAGTTTGAAGGGGAAATGGTTAAACAGTGGACATCAAAATGCGACCAAGCAAGTTCTCAGCGTGTGCAAGTACAGGGCTAAGTTAACCTCAGAGATGCAGATAGTCTGGGTTCAGCAGTTCCTGTT